AAAGTTTCAAAAATGGAAATAAACTCATATCATTGCAGTTTGTCAGATTCAATCATTCACTATGTTCAGAATCTCAGAATGGAGGAAATTGGACATTTAACTCTGTTCTATTGATATTTTTCCCATCTCATCAATTTTCTTAGTTGATCATATAAAAATGGCAGTAAACTGTTAATTTTGTTTTATGTTAAAAAATTGTTAAAAATGGGAAAAAAAACATTTCAGAGCCGTGATGTCTTGTCTGTATTTCCACATAAGCAGCTGTATTGTTTTTTATGTCTTTAAACATTATGTAATATTATTTTATGCACTGTCATCATTTTTCAAAAATTGAGACTTCCATCATGTGAATTTGAACTCTCATGGTCCTGAAACTGTAATCTTATTGAAGGGGTGGATTGAGACCATCTTCTGGGTCTTCCGGAAGACGGTCAGGTTATTAAGTTTATATTGACTGGTATCTATTTTTTTTCTGTTGGAAGACCATAAAAATGGGGGATGGATCAATATAGATACTTTGGAATACTATCAGAAAATATCTCTGGGTTCGCTCCTGTTATTGACCATGGTACCTGTTGTGCATGATTAGAATTCAGTGTTGACTGACAGTGCTATTATAAGCATTATTTATTATTGCATCAAAATTGACAAAATGACCTATTTTGCATCTTTAATTTCTGTTCTTTGTCTGTACATTTGACAGCTTTGCTGCCTTGTTAATAAATAAGATACATAAAAGTGTTTGTTTGACATTTCCTGCATCTTCACAACATTGTTAGTTGATTTTGTAAAAATGATGGTAAACTTTTTATTGTGTATTATGTAATAAAGTTTCAAAAATGGACATAAACTCATATCATTGCAAATTGTCAGATTCAATCATTCACTATGTTCAGAATCTCAGAATGGAAGAAATTGGACATTTAACACTGCTCTATTGATATTTTTCCCATCTCATCAATTTTTTTAGTTGATCATATAAAAATGACAGTAAACTGTTAATTTTGTTTTATGTTAAAAATTGTTAAAAATGAAAGAAAAAAAAAAACATTTCAGAACAGTGACTTGTTTACATTTTGGCATTTTCTAGTTGTGACTTTGAAGTTCCATGGGCCTGAAGACCTTTGCTAGTCACATTTTCTGAATACCCATGATACTAATATTTTATTATTAAAAATTGATGGTCATTATGCTATTAAGCATTATGTAATATTGCATCAGAATAGAAGAAAACACAATTTTGGGTGCTGCTGCCATGATGACCATTATGGGAAAACCATGTTACTTATGATTGCCAAACTTTCAAAAAAGAAATACAGGACTAAAATACAGCTGGAGTTGGAAAAGCAGTCTAATTGACCTCTTTTTCTGGAAGTTATACATTTTCAAAGTGTGAACTTGAACTCCCATGGGCCCGAGGCCTTATGCTTGTTACACATTTTACTTACATTGGTATTACCTGTTGAGCATAATTAAAAATTTGATGGTGAATTTGCAGTTTAACATAATGTACTTTTGCATCAGAATTGACAGTAGCCTATTTTGTTATTTCCTGCATTTTGTCTGTACATTTGACAGCTTTGCTGCCTTGTTATTCTATGGTTTTGATCAAGAATAAATTAATAATAGTATAAAGCAGGTTTTTAATGAATGAAAACGAATAATAAATTTTCGTTTTAAAAGAAATTAACAAATTCAGTTTTAAACTGGTAATTATTTAACAAACCTTTGAGTTTGTTTCAACAATGTTTGCTAGCTCTGTTGTGCACCAAGGATGGTGGGTAATATGAGGGTCCAACTTGCCCCGAGTCAAGGGTCCAACTAGCCCCAGGTGCATATTTTTTATTCTAAAGGATTTTGCATCCATTTATGGTGCTAGAATGAGCAACGATTATAAATCTCCATGAAACTTGAAATAATGAGCTTCAGTTTGATGCTCTATACATATATAATATTTGATCAAAAGCCTATGAAAATAGCTTTTTAAATATCTTAAACAAAATTACTTTTATGTGCAAAAATCGTTTATTTGGACTCACCTCTTAAGTAAGACTTTTTAACGTCCGACACTTCCTTAGCATTGTAGGCTACGGTCACTTTACAAGAGTATGTGGCCAAGTTTTTTACCTCGTAGTTACTTTTTCATAAATTGACGGGGGGGCTAACTTACCCTAAATTACCTTACAACTAGCCTCAGTCTCCCCTATTTGGTTAATCTTCAGAACTCTGGACTCTTTTAGGGGTTACATGATGAAACGATCCCAAAGAATTTAAACGAAGAAGCTAGAAGTGAAGAAAATGCCCCCATAGCTGCAGCTAGTTCTGCAGTCAAACCACCTGAAAATGAGGTATAGTAACATCTTTTAAGAATTAATATTATACTTGGGTATTATACTCATGACTTATTTTCAGAAAAAAAGATGTTTTCTATTTATCATTTAAGCTTTTTGTGATACTGTTAATGGATAACCTTAATAAATTCGGCATTGCCATTTCTTTAAGTTATTATTACATTAAAACATAATGTTTAAAGACATTATTTTAGAACATGTTCCATGGTGTATATTTTCCAGCCTCCGAGCAGAGACACTGGTGGTGAAACAAACTGCCATAGAGACTATATTGCCAGAGAGGATGCAGATAGCAAAAATGCAGAACAGCAATACAATGGAACACGTGACTTCACAAAGCTCATTAAAAGTACATTAAATAATGTCTAATTTTAGAGCATGTCATGATTTCGTTATTTGTCTGTTGTATTTTCATTATGGTGTTTTTACTGAGAAGTGACTGCCCATGGTTTATTATGGTGGGGTAAAGTCTTGCAAACAAGTTCGTAAATTATGTCATTAAAGTTCAGATCATATCCTCTACTTTCATTAGGCATGTACATGTACAGGTATATTTAGTCAACAAAATCTGCGTATGCCCATGTGACGAAACTGAGAGTTGGTGTAACTCTTCATTTAATGATACAGCTAAGTGTAAGCCTAACGTCAGTGGGTCAAAATCAAAGGTGAGGCTTACCGTGCAAATTAATGGGCACCGGACTTTTTATGATGGGGGACTCTCTGTCACATCACACATGTTTCAAATTTTAAGTGACAAGTTCTATTTTAACCTTTTACCAAGATAGTGCATTTCTTTCCTTTAGATGGCAACACAGCTTTGACGGAGAGGAACAGAAAAGCCTTGATTTCAAATTTTTGCTTTCTGAAAGACAATCTCCGTCCCGTAATTATCAGCGTGGCAGATTACATGTTCAGCAAGTTTGTTCTTCCTGAACACCATCTCGAAGCCATAGAAAGTATGAAAGTTACAACAGAAAAATGTCGGTATCTGGTAAAGGACATCCTTTTACACTCAAGCGAGAAGACATTCTGGGTTTTTATGGAAGCGTTGGAGCAAAATAAGTGCGAATTCATTGTTGACAAGCTGCTTAAAGTCCTCGGTAAGATGCAACTTTACCCCAGTAATTGTTAAACAACGTTTTAAAATGCACTTAGTGAATGCAGTTAGTGAATTTTTTTCTGAGATTGAGAAGTTTTGAAAGTCATTTAAAGGATAACAACTGTTCGTTTTGGCCAAAAAATTTTTTTTCTGGGGTAAATGACAATTTTCTCCATACTAACCCAAAGTTAAAGAATCCATTCCAACATTCAAGGTTAGTCCCCATTATTTTAATTTTTATTATGTAAAAATCTGTTAAGAGATCATTATAGAAGGTAGCCATCAATGAAAGTTGCATGGCAAGCACAAATTTTAGAATAATTGCAATAACCACTGTTTTGGTGGAAAATAGAATTAATTATATTTCTCTGAGTTGTTTACACAAAATTTATTGTTAGATATGATCTCATACGAAGAGTTATTACCCCTTTAATAAAATGGCTTGCATTGAACTCTGAGTAGCAGGGTTGTTTACACCTGATAAACATCTCGCTAAAAATCCAGATGACAAGGATTTATTTTCTTTTTATAAACCATATTAATTATTTCTTTCATTACTTGTAGGCAAAATTGATGTTAATGGACAACTTAAGGTTGTAGTTGACTTTCCGGATGGAAGGAAAGCACAAGAAGAAGCTCAGCGATGCCTCCAAAAAGCAAGGTGTAGTGTTGAGGAGTACATATTCAACAATCCAGACAGGAAGCCCTCGATGTGCGACGCTATAAGGAGCGTCATGGAACATTTGAACTTGACTGTTAATGACACAACTAGAGGATCCATTTTGATGAATATGAAGTTTTACACCGTTGAACAATTAGATGCATTCTGGATGTGGGTCAAAAGTCGGCGACCTTCACCTTTATCAACATCCTTGACTGAGGTCATTTTGACAGAAGAAATCCGGAGAATGGTCCCAGAAGATATTGTCTTATCATTAAGTACAGACATGGATCTAGATGAGTATTTGAAGAAGAGGCGTAGATTGCTTCATGGTAAGTGTTGAATAACGCAAAGGCCAACCTCTGAAAACCTAGTGAGTGGAAATTGCATTTTTGTTGTGGTGGTTTTCTTAATAGTTCTAAAAACTCCAAAAAACACTGTAAGTAACTAATGTACCGGATAACACTGCACTGAAAAATAACTTAAACTAAGTTAACAAAAATTGCAACATATTCAATGTTGAGAAGGAAATAGTCGACGTACTGGAAAGTATTACAGAAATGTACAAATGCTATATGAAAGGGGTATTTTACTGTATCTAGCTTGGAAATGGTTACAGAATTTATGATGTTATTTTAGGTGAGCTGCCTATGACGTCAGATGACTCAAATGTCGGAAGACAACCACAGAAAGAGCGTAATCAAAGCTTGTTGTGGCTGGACATTGTCGGTGAACCGAAGGAGGAAGCTAACCCGAAGGTTCTTCTGGAGTGGGCGTATGAAAGTGGATATAACGATCCCCTTCCTATGCTCACTGAGAAGTTTCCGCATACTTTTATTGGTTTCGACGAGAAAGATTTCAGAATAGAAAGACTTAACAAACTTATAACGTACAAAAACGGTCGAATATCACAGTTGATTGCTAAATCAGAGGATCTGGCAAAGAAATTATCACAAGCAGAGCATAAGTTGAAAAATAAGGAATTATTGGCATATGTAAGGAAAAGTTATTACATGGATATAGGAGAGATTCATCGGTCACTTACAGAAGATCTAAATTTACTGACACAGAGCAATTCAGACATCCAGAAAGATTGGAGAGGCTGTGAGTCAGACCTAGCAGGACCTGTTAATGAGCTGCCAAAAGATAATGGCTTGCAAGCAAGTTTAGGAAAGAGTTTTCCAGCACAAAACAATGTGGAAAGCCATAGAGATGGGAGAGACTGTGATTTGGAACTAGCACAGCCTGTTCATGTGCCCACAGGTGAAGTCAACAGTGATAAAGAATGTGCTTTGAAAACTAACAGTGATGATCTAGAGCTGCCAAAAGACAGTGGCTTGCAAGCAAGTGGAGGGCATGCAGAGGAACCTTATGATGATAGTAAGTTGAAGCAAGGGCTGATGCAGGATTTTTTGAAGAGGGGTCTGATTTTTTGACAGACCTTGGATTGCGAGGCTGACCCTCACCCCCTTGGTGTAAGGTTTGGGGCACGTTTGAATGTCCTGTAAAATTTATGTGTTTTAGAGGGCAAATGGTGCCATTTGGTATGATTTTGAACCATGACTCAGCTAGACATTAGCAATTTTTTCATCAGAAATCGAATGGGGTGAAAGGGACCTCCACCCCCCCCCCCCCCCCCTCACCCAAATCTGCCACTGAGTTGGATTATGAAATATAAGTTGGCCATTTTTAACATGTACTGACATTCTTTTTTTGCAGTAGTATATGGTGTATAGAGAGTTTTCGTCCAGTTTTCTGTTACTTTCCAATCCAAGGTATTGGAAATGTGAGGTTGGTAGGGCACAGTTTTTATTTGCCTCATCCCCAACTTGAAGGAATTTTTTAAAAATTAAACTCAACAATACATGTGAACATTTTTTAGCCATTATTTCATTAATTTCTATTCCCCTTTAGCAAGGGGTCAGGAGCTGAGATCATCACATCTCATTGATGCTTTGTTTTTTGTTTTACTTTCACTTCATTGTTCTATTTTGCAATTCATTTCATTCAGCAGGTTATTTATATGGACAGCACGTGCACAGGGACGGAGGGCGGGTTCGTGGTTTGAGTACAGTGATTTGTGTGGATACTTCCAGAAGCATGGAAGGAGAAGCTTTCACTGACATGAAAAATGCAATACACAAGATTCTTTATGGTGAGATATACCCACATAAGATACCACGATACATACGTGATCTTTATTGTGACACACTGTTTAATGTGTCTTCTTTCTAGAATATATACAGGGTACACTTAAGAACTAATATACTCTTTAGAAACTTTCATAATATAATTTTTACCTCTGCCAAGAAGGTTATGTTTTCACCCCTGTTTGTTTGTTTGTTTGTTTTTCATCAACATAACTCTAAAGGTTATGGATGAATTTAATTACCATGTTCTAAGATACATATACTGACAGTCAATGAAAATGCATCAGAAAACTTTCTTGTACTTTTTTATCGAGAATTAATTCCAACCAAATAAACAAGTAAAAATTTTAATGATCTTTTCTGACTCTTTATACCTACTGGGTCCTCAAAAGGCAATTGATCTAAGAAAAAAAATGGGAAAGTATAGAAAAAATATTTATATGAATAGAAAAGAACATTTTTCATAGCCTAGGCCTACTTAGATTATTTAATTAAAAAATGCTACATGTAATTAAAAAAATCTTTTCTGACCTTTTTTATTTCACCTTGTGTGACCGAAAAATGGGTCATATTTTACACGAAAACTGTTATTTTCTTAATGTGCCAAAGGAAATTAAAATATTATTTGATAAATAAATGATTAGTTTTCATTGACTGTCAGTATATATATAGCTTAAGGTTTCAAGATGCGTGCATTTTCCAACTAATGTTATACATGTAAAGCAGTATGACAAAATTAGAATGCTTAATAATAAAAATAAATAACTTAAATATCATAAGGCTCCATATTGTATTTCAGATGCAAAATACACATACAATGTGTATGAGTTCAAGGAGTTAATCGGGCTGGTCGAATGTGGGTCAGGGTTAGATAGTCGGACTTTAGTGAGCTTAACGGACAACTATGACCGGATACGACAGGCCCTAGGTAGGTGAGAGAAAGAGAGAGAGAGGGGGAGGGGGATTTTGCACTGAATGTCCATGTGTGCATGCATGTAGACAAGTGTGTGTATGCAATACACTGACTTCCTAAAAAGAACTGTGAACTGAACTTTGTTAGCTGATATTTGATGACCTGTTGAACCTTAATAGAGTTTTCATACAAATTCAGCTGGATTTGTTGACATTGCTATTTTCTGGTTACAATGACTCATTAAGAAGATATATAATGCTTTGGTGTTAGAGCTAGAATGTTTAGTGTGTGTGTGTGTGTGAGAGAGAGAGAGAGAGAGAGAGAGAGAGAGAGAGAGAGAGAAAACATTGTGTTTGTGTAAGAGAGAGAAATTAACTTGATCTAATGCATACATGTATCTGTCTAAAATAACTAAATTTTTAAACAATTCTTATTGTTTCCAGCTGGCCTTAAGCCAGGTGGTATGAGTCCATTAGCAGCAGGCATCAGTAAGTCATTTCATGAACTACTCCGACATGGTAAGTTAATATGCCCTTTTTTCGCAGTTACAAGTATGAGATACCAAAATTCCATTTTAATGCAACAATGTAACTTTGATACTACATAAGTTTACATATTAATTGGCATCCATAATTGTGGGGATCCACAACTCAAACAATCATAGTAATATTCACAATATTAGACATATCTCTGTGTACACATTAAGGTTGTTATTTCATTTTACCATGGAATTGCTGAATTTCCAGTGTTGCAACTAGTTTTTTAAGCATTTGACGTGGTGCCTTACATAATGTAGTGTCAGAAACTCAATTGTTCAAATTCACAAGTTTCATAATATTTATTCTGAGTACATTAATGGAAAGTGGAATATAATCATGATAATTTTACTGGTTCTGTTAGCTAGCAGACAGATGCAAAGGGTTTTGGTATTCACGGACGGTAAACCAACAGATGAGAACGACTTTGGGAACATGGATGATTTGCCTAGAGCATCATCAACGGTATGGGACTCATTGTGTTTGATAGGATTCATATGCTCTTTAAAATTTGTAAAGTATATGTATGTGGTGTTAGCCACCGATTTGGAACAAATGACAAGTAAATTTGTTGAAGAGATATAGTTCATTTTGTCATTTGACCAGTGGCAATTTGAGCGTACTGTTTTAAGTTAAAAACTATGTTGTAGCCTTTTTTTTATTATTTGTGGGTTGGATCTTTGAATCAGTAGTAGCTGTACTAAGTCTACTAGTAAGTGACTGGAACAAGACCTGAAATGGTCTGAATCTACAACTTTCTAATTCCTCCATGAACTAGTTGGTTATACAAAACTAGATGTTGGTTAAAAAAAAATTACATGTTTCATTCCTTATACATAACACAACTGATGGAATTATTGAAGGTCTCTCCTCTTTCTTATTATGAATTTGATAAGGAAAAATACAGACATACTACATCATATCTATATGTACATTAAATATTAAGTTGATGAAGCTCATTTAATATGTCTGTTTAAAATCCATCTGTGATCCTAAATTTCAGAATTCATTGATACTAGTATTTATTTTCAGGGTAAACATCTAGTCCTGAACACTGTCCAGAATCCTGTCACTGAGGATCTGTTACTCTATGTCAGAATACATTTTGTTGGCTGTGGAAAAAACTGTGACAAGGTAGGTACATGAGATGTTTGAGTTTTGAAAGTTATTTATTTTTTCTCTCAGATTGAATGCAAGTCAGTAATCCAAAAATCTTAAACTTATATTTTTTTCAAAAAGCAGGTTCTTTCGAAAAGCAGCATTATCAGTATACATTTATGGTAATTATTAGGGTTTTTTTGCACAATTTTGATGCAAGCCTTATATTTAAAGGGATAACAACTCTTCGTATGAAATCTATATTTCACAATAAATACATGTACATCGTAAACAACTCAAATTATAATATATTCTATTTTACCACAAAACAGCAGTTATAGCAATAAATGTTAAATCTGTGCTTGTCATCAGACCATGTGACCTCTATAGATGGCTATACTTTGTAATAATCTCTTAAGAGATTATTAAAAAAAATTATAGAAAAAAACATGGACTAACTTTGAATGTAGAAATGGATTCATTAACCATTGGTAAGTATGGGAAAATTGCTGTTTACCCCAGGAAAATTCATCTTTTGGCCAAAATGAACAATTGTTATCTTTTTAAGTGACAAACCATATTTCTGTTTTACATTTTTTCTGAGTGGCTTTGTTAGGCAAAAAGGCAAGTTGCTTCTAAACATCTGCAAGATTGGATTAGTTTTACAGTAATTTTTTTTCACAATTTTCGCAATTCATGTTTGCCCTCATACATATCAAACCATATTTTTGTTTAGAATAAATTTAATAAATGGATTTGGTAAAGAGACAAGTTGCTATCTGCATTGACTAGCTTGTAGCAATCCATTTATTTGAATTATTTGTTCAATGATGAAAAATAAAGGAAATATTATCTAAAAAAATTAATGTGTTTTTCTACCTGAGAGACATGGCCTTAATTGTCACATGATGTACTAATAACTTAAAAATAATATTTTATCAATCCAATAAAATATACAATATATAATATCGGGAATCATTTGCCTTGTAAAAGCAGTTTTGTTAGTAATTCCTGCAATTTTCTGCATGAGGGTCATACTTTAAATTGAAATATTAAGATGATTAACATAATTATGTGCTTCATTCCATACTCTTTTGCATGGGAACTACAGTACGTACATGTATGACAAGGTTGTACATGTGTATGAACCTCAGAGTATGAAATAACAGCATTGCAAAAAAGCATCTGGTTTTTTTAGCGAAGTTTTATTTTAAAATTTGGAGGAGTGGCATAAGAACTATTAGTGCTTTTCTAGTTATTTCTCAGGCTGGATCATATACATGAGATGAAAAGGAAAAAAATGTTGATTAAATCTTGCTGAAATTCTACACAAAAAAGTAGCATTCCTCAAGATAATTGTACCACCAGCGCAGACGGGACTAAAACACATGGTTTTAGTCCCGTCCGGTCCATCCCACTGCTCCGCCGCTATGTTAACGTTACCGCTTCTCTTCTTAGACTACAAGGGCCTGCGAACCCATCTCATGGATTCAGGTCACGTATAATCTCAGCTTGTTCCACGTAAAATTAGGGCTTCATCAGTGCTGGGGTCTAGGTGTGGCGCTCTTCCCAATGCACCCTTGTCAAAAATTGGCCAAATTAAATGCTAATTATCTACCATACCGAAGGAATTATGGGAAAAATTTCTACAGACCGCTCACCGAAAGTCATATGTGAATATTTCAAATATGCGGCCAAAATTTTTAAAAAATTCATCTTTACAAAAAAAAAAACCATTTATGCTGATATTCAGAAACTACACAGATCTAACCTAAAATATTATTGGCAGGTGTTTACCCTTCAGGTCATCTTTCATTTCCGTGAGTTTGGGGTCAATCGGGGCATTTTCACGAGAGCAGCGGCCATTAGATGCCGAAACGGAAATCTCTCTCTAATTCTGGAACCGTTAATGCTAGAGACCTCTTTTTTTTGCATTTGATAGAGCATGCCTACCGTGATTCTAGATTCCAGTAATACCAGCTCAATCCTGATTTCATATATAACCCATATCAGCAATACCAGGCTCTAGCGAACACAGTCAAGCTGTGGGCGTTCTTCTTCAAAATTTTGCCTGGGGCGCTTCCATATTTGGAAGTTAAATGTGTCGTACGTCATAGCTGTGTCTGCCTGGATCCATATTTGGATGCATAAGTCTCGTATACGTCACAGGTTTGGCCGTCTGGAGCTGCCTTTTCCGCTGACGTTATCTCGTGCAAATGAGACAAGAAGCAAAGTGGCTGACACAGAGTTAGAAGTTTGAATTAAGAATATCTTGCAGTCGGTGGTCAGTGCCACAACACAAACAACATTCTGCTTTAAAAACTGATTTTGGTGTAGCCCTTATAGTGGTATCGGGCATACAGTGTAGCTGTCAAACTTAATTGGCACACGGCAAGCACGTGTATTGTGTTCATACCTCCAGGGGCAAATCTTTTTTGATAAGCAAAAAATACAAAAACATTGGATATATCTTTTCTTTTCGAGGAATTTTTATTTCACTTTACATGTGAAATACAGTAAATAAAATTAAATAAAACAGAATTAAATCTGTTTTACATTTTAATTTTGATTTCATGACATTCAGCTGCAGATTCACTGTGGAGCAGTTCCTTTTTGGTTTATGTTCAATTTCCATCAATCAAAAAGGAACTGTGGAGCAGTTCCTTTTTGATTGATAGAAGTTGAACATGGTCGCTGTTCCTCAGAGCCACTGTGAAGCTATTACGTGAAAACGTTTCAATAGTTAACAATCTAGCTTCACAGTGGCTCTGACACTCGAGGGTAAGCATGCCAAGCCCAACACTGAAGGTGGTCTTTTTTTTTTCGTCTAGTATACGAGTCTAGAAAAGATAACATAAGGCTTGGTGAGACAGACAACTTCTAGTCAAAAATGACATTATTTCATGAAATTTGAATTTTTGGGACTTCCGAGCACCTCCCATTTCAAGAATTTCAACCGAAATAACCTTGTCTTTATTTCAATTAATTTCTTCTGTAGGAAATTTAGGGCACATTATTGTAACTCCAAAATTGTAACATTTAGTCCCTTATATCTCCAAAACTGGCAGAGATAGCTCCATAGTTACTATTGAAGTTGAATAGGAAGTCATATACTGGCAATCTAACTGTGACCTTGAAATTGACCTTTGACCTACATGTACTTTTCGCCAGGGATTGAACTTTGCAACATTTAAGCCCCTTATATCTCCAAAAACTGGCAGAGATAGGCCCATAGTTTTAACTGAAGTTGAATAGGAAGTCATATGTATATATATATACTGGCAATCTGTGTTCTTGAAATTGACCTTTGACCTACTTTTCACCAAAAACTGAACTTTGCAACTTTTCTGTCCCTTATATCTCCAAAACTGACAAAGAAACGCCCATATATATATATATATACTCAGTATATATATACATACATATATATATATATATATATATATATATATATATATATATATATATATAGTTACTATTGAAGTTGAATAGGAAGTCATATGCTGGCAATCTAACAGTGACCTTAAAATTGACCTTTGACCTTCTTTTCACCATGAACTGAACTTTGCAACTTTTCTGTCCCTTATATCTCCAAAACTGGCAAAGATATACATGTACGCCCATATTACTATTAAATTTAAATAGGAAGTCATATACCCCCGCGGTACTGGCAATCTAACAGTGACTTTATAATCAACTTTTGACCTGATTTTCACCATGAACTGAACTTTGCAAAAATTTTTTCCCTTATATCTCAAAAAACTAGAAGAGATAGGCCCAAAGTTACTGTTGAACTTGAGTAGGAAGTCATATACTGGCAATCTAACTGTGACCTTAGAATTGACTTTTGACCTACTTTCTTGATTAACAGCACTTTGCATGTTTTCTGGCTTTTAAATCTCCAAAATTTGGAAAGAAATGCCCATGGTTACTAGTGAACTTGAATAGGTAGTCTTATATTGTGATATTGAAATCGACCTTTGACCTACTTTTTCACCATGAACTGAACCTTGCATATTTGCTCACCCCTCATATCTTCAAAATTACCAGAGATATGCCCAGTGTTGCCCCTAGGTTTTCTCTTTTGTCAGCATATATGCAACACTAACAATACATTTTAAGAAAAACCAATAGGCCTATTGTCTAGAAAATCACAGGAGTGATAAATTTTAGGAAAACACAGGTCAATTAAAAAATCTGCTTGATTGTACCATTTTTAGTTATATTTTTTCGCATTTTTTTCTTTTTGCATATTTTGAGAACTCTTGTTGATTGCATATTAAAGAGCTTGTCAAGCACAAGACTGGTGGTGGTGTCCCCCCAGCAGGCAAACGACATTGATTCTATGTTGATTCAACGCTGATCCACCAAAATTAACGTTGATTCAACGGTGAATCAATGTCGTTTGTCTGCTGGGCCTTTTTTTTTTTTGGAGGGGGGGGTTCATCTGAATGTGCTTACTCCAGCTTTTGGTACAATATCCGGAGGCGGTATTGCCTCAAGTTTAAAACCCAATTTATCTCCAGGGATTTCTAGAGTATGCAGCCAAGGCAGGAAAGGGAGAATTCTTCAGAGCAGATGACGAACTAGATGTCCGTTGCCTGGGTGGATACTACAGACGACTGGTGGGAGATAATTAATTAATTTTAATTTAAAAATCAATGTTTAACTGAAAATTTAGACAGTACAACTAGTTGTGCCGTATAAGGTCATTAAATATATCTGTGTCTGGGGTAGCGCTAGCAATTTTTTTCGCTTAGCCAAATCACCACTGTTTTTGTCATTTTGTCAATTTGTTATCAAAATGGTTATGACTTGACTAAAACAAGTCAAATCAAGGCCGTTTTCTTTAGCTAATTAAGGCCAGTTTTAGCATTGGCTAAATTGGCGAGTGTTAGCACTACCCCAGTGTGTATCTTTTAACAGTTGTTTTGACTTTTCTTAAAGTAGGTTTAAGCTATCTACAGATCTGTCGATTACTAAAATGGCTATTGAATATATACAACATAAGTTGTGTATTTTTATTTTTATATAGTAACATGGATTTATATTTTGATAAATTAATAATTTAATTGGTTGATAATGAATAAAAAGAAATAGAAACATGGTTAATTTCTGATTTATCTCTTTGTAGGCTTGGGTTTCCCTTTTCATCAGGCCTATTCAAGGTAAGAAAACAGCAATAGTGAACTTTGGCCCTTTGTGCCTATTTATTAATATGCATTTTTGTGGTTTTAATTATAACCTACAGTACATAATCTACATTTTGCTGGTAAAAAAATTATTTTACGTTTTTCTTCTATAGGAAAGTTACTCAACCAGCTTGTTAATGACAAAACCAAGTTTTCAACATGGATGCATGCTACAAAGAGCACAGAAATATTTGACACAGATTTGAGTGACTTTGATGTGGTAATCAATGATTAAGTAATGTAAAAGAACAGTCTGCGATATGTAAATGATAAAATGACTAATGTTGGTCAGTCATTTTTGCTAATTCCTTTATTTCTGTCTTGGACATGATAATCTTATGTCCAAGTTTCTGTCTTTAGTATGTAGCTATAGTTATCATCTGAATAAGTATTGGATATTGAAAAAGTAATGCATTTGGATAGCATTCGATATAATAATATAATAATTATCATGTAAGCCATAAGTTATTTCTTATTTTAGTTGCATTAAAGAGCTGAGATTGTGGCCAAATGTCTCTATTTTCAGGATGAAATGCACAAAATATTGCAAGCTTTGGTTAAAGAAGACCCACGTATACAGCGTGACCTGCCGCTGGGGATGCGTGTGAGACGAGGACCTGATTGGGAATATGGTGACCAAGATAATAATGGTCCAGGAACTGTGACAGGATATAGAAAGGGAGGTAAGTTAAATACTTTTCAAAGGATGATTAAAAATAAAATGACAAAAAAGGTGCTGATACATGTAGTTCAGTGTAGTCTGATGCCTTTTGTTGGGCCTGGGAATTTGACCTTTGCAAAGCACTCAACAGGAAATGCACTTGGTTGCGTTTGACATTTTGTGCATGTCTTTGCTGAAAATATGCAGTCGCACTTTGCACTTTCCATTGCACTTTGCAGGTAAAGATGCCTTTGGCTATAATGTTCATTTATTAAAGGTTGGATTAAAGTTCAGTGGGATCACAGCGATGAAGATTTTGTCTATCGGTATGGCCATGAAGGACGTCGAGATTTGAGAGCGGTGGATGAGCCACGGATTTTGACGAAGGATGAATTAATTAAGCCTGGAGTTAAAGTCAGGCGAGGTAAGTATTGACATTTAATTTGGAAAATTGTTTTATCATTATAAATTTTTAGATTGAAGATAATTATAAGAATGAGGTGCAAATTTAAACCCTGCTTAATTAAAGGGATAATAACTCAGCGTATAATATTCAAAATTCAACAATAAATACAATATGTAAGAAACACATAGATACACAATAAATTCCCCATTTCACCACCAAAACAGAGCTATCAGAATTATTCTGAAATTTGCTTGCTATCAGACCAAAATCCTGCATTTCTAGATAAGATTCTGGATTTCCCAGTAAATTTAAGACATATGAGCACTTTATGCACCTGACATACTGTGTCTGTGTTATCATATGTTTTCAGGTCCACACTGGCATGCTAACAATAATGACGGAGGTCCTGGAAGTATTGGCACTGTGTACAAAGTTCATCCATCTGGAATAGTTTATGTAAGTAGTTATTATAATTATTGAAAAGTTTAGCAACCCTTAAAGACTTGGATAAACACAATGACATAATGGCAAAATCAGAAAGTCAGAAAAAATACTAATTGATAAAAATAAGGATATTGATGATGATGATGATTGCTAAAAACCAAGAAAAAAATTCATCACATAAATCAGAACAAATGAAATAACTAAAAGGATATACTTATTAAAAAAAGAGTTCATTACTTAGTGTATTGGACCATATCCATAGACACATTGGCCTACATGCATTGACCTAATTCTGTCGAGATTCTTGCCTATTGCAATCAGCTTAACAGATTAGCATGCTCCTCCAGTCATTTATAATGTATATCTGAAGTCAACTTTTGGCACTAAAGCAGACAAAATGGCACCATATAGTTTTAAAAAGTATAACTTACAGAAATGCCAAAAGAAATTGTTTCATAGTACCTAAAAATATATAATTAGGGCTGAGAAGCAGATCAAATTTAAAGAATTAAGGTACATGTATGTGCAGTTCGAAGATGAAAATAGGCGGATGTGAGGAACGTTTTGCAGGGTCACTGTCCCCCTCTGAACAGATACCAAATGAAAAGGGAATTAAGGCAGCATACATGCACCATACGGGCATCGCATCTCAAACTTAATAAAGTCTTAACAACTGGATTTCTTAGGTTTTTAGTTGGCACTTTATTAAAAACCCCATAATCTGACAAGCACATCTCCCCCATCCTAGTATATTTGACCTGCAATCATCTTGGTTGCAGTACTTAGCAGAAAGAGATCGTAAAGGCTTCGAATTAAGGCTACCTGTGTGCTGTAGGCAACAATCTGCTACCGTTTTGGCCTCTCCACACTGTGGAAAGAGACTGTAATACTTAGTCTGGCTTCTGCAGTAAGCCGTAGGCACTCACCAGCAGTTGTTCCTGTCTCAGCGTACAGCGAGGAGAGAATGTATACACATGCATAAAACCCAGCCTGACTTAAACATAGAAAGTTACCTGGCCTTGGCAGATGCTTTTTGCCAATTGCCTCTCGATCAATTCAGTACCATTTCTCTCTGAAAGTAAAAAATATTTCAGTTCCTTGTTGGTTCTCATGCTATCTTACTGAAACCCCCATAAAAAGTTCTGAAGATGTTGTTTTGCATCCCAAGCCAACTGTAGAAAACATTATATAATCTTGGACTGACACTTACCTTTTATACAATATGATAATTTTATAAAAGAGGTAATCAAGCAAAGGTATCATAGGCACCATTCAGATTGAGAAGAGCTGAATGCTAGCATTAGTAAGGCTGTGACCTAAATATGGTGGACCTTCATGAAAGGAAGACCGCTTAATCCTGTAATGGTCTCCCCCCCCCCCCCCCGCCTCTCACACGCCTCCCCACACATCATCCCTCTACCAGTTGAATTAAGCCGCTATTTTATTACTGTGCCCCTGCAATAAGTTAATAGGTCGACCATTTTACACAAATGTGTGCTATATATACAATTAGCTCTCCCAACAATGCACAAACATACACCATTTACAAAATGTCTATTTGGGAAAAAAATTTTTCATCATCTGACTGACTAATGTATACAATCAAAATGTAATTATCATTTATTTATATTTTTCTAGGTTTGTTGGCCAACAAAAGTCATAAGCTTTCATCGCTATGGTTATGATGGGGAATATGAAATAGAGACAGTGTAAGTATTCTTTTTCCACAAGTTTGTTTTCTGTTTAGTTTTATCAATTATAAGAACACGTTATAGGATTTTCCAACCAAAATATAGGTTTACCTCAAACTTAGGCAACATTGTGGACATTTTGCTTTTTCTTTATCCTTCTTTATCCTAATTATGTCTATACTGGGATATATATATGTAATAATACATAATATTTTATGACGTAAACATCATCAATTTTAAATTATATTTACTACAGGTAAAATGGATATTCAGAACAAGCAAAAGGGTTCAGTCTAGAAAGTTCAAAGCCACAAATTGAAAATGCCAATATGTTTAACATGAACATAAAAAATATGCATAACTTCAAGAAAAATAATCTAATCAGCTGGTTTTTTAACTCGATGTGTCTCTACGTGTTATAATAGTTTGATCTCAGTTTTGATAGTTAAAAAGTGTTCTTATAAAATAGATCCAAATATTAAATTTACCAGACTGTTTCGTCTGTTCACTTTGACAGACATGGTCAAAACTAAATTACCTGTACAGGTGAAGGTGAACAGGTAATTACCTCAGTCTTGATGGTAACTTGTTAGACCCTCTCACCCCAACTCCCCCAGGGTGGGTTTGAAAAATGATATCATCATACACATCACAGTGCCTTCAGAACAGCAGACTAACATTCCACAGATCAAATATGGAGACCCACTAAAAAGCTTGCAGCTTAATTCCCAATTAGACACTGAAAAGATTCTCCATGGGGATTACACAACAAGCGTTCAAGTTAGTCGTTCATATTTGATCTGCGTTCTGAATGCGCTTATATACATGTATGTGTCTGCACATATTAAAAGTCACATATGCCTGAAAACATTTTCAGCAGTATGGGTTAATTTCTGTTAAGAGTAATTTAGGCAAAGTATCCAGTTAATGTATTTGATTTTAAGGGCAAACTGTTTGCATCTTAATGGCACATTTGCTTGAATCATGCATTAATTTATTGATTTGTTGTTATAGGGAGGAATCTCTATCCCCTGCAAATGACGCTTCTATTACAAGCGGTAAGTTTGCTGGTACTTACTGTTTCCAATTTTTGTTCCGTCAACATTTGCTCTTCAGGACAAAAAATCTTATTTGAAACATGGATGGATAGCACCATTCAATTCATACTTAAATGTATAATGTATATGAAATCAGTAAAATTCCCCTTTCAAATTGTACATTCAAGATGGAAAGATAGCCCTGTGGCAGTGGAATTCCAATGGAAACTGGGAGTATTATCCGAAATATGTGAGCACAAAACTTGAGCACTCTTACCATACAAGTCCATCCACTTGTGTTGAAGTCAATATTGCTGGACTTTGGTGAGTGTTTTGTTTCTATGTAGCCTTACCTCCAACAATCATTAAAGTATGTTAATAATAAATGAACACTTATCAAGCAAAAAAGTAAAGATAACATCATATATTAGAACTTGCTAAAGGTAACTTGTAAGATTTTGTTTTTACATATAAATATGCAAGGGAAAGAATGTGTTTAAATGGCTAGCTATTTGGAGAGTAATGTATCAGTTTAGTGTAAAACATCACTGTTGTTATTTAGAGCTTTATGTATGTCACTGTTTTTTATTGATAATGGATATTTTCAGTTATGTCATCGACTTTGAGAGTATGACTGCACTATGTGATGACATCAATGAAACCTATGAAATCCAGCGAACTGGTCAGTTATATTTAATGTTTTATAAAACTGAATTTGTCATAGGTTGGCAGTATGTATTCCACTAAAGAGGGTTCTGATTCAATAAAATAGTTTTTTCATTGCCTTTCTTGTTTTAGCAGTATTCTGATTGATTGCTTTTCCTCATGATCACCTTTCCCAAAATGCTCATTGCATGTTTACTTCAACTTGAAATAAAATGTTAACTGTTCTAAATTTTTAAGATTTCTAGATTGTCCCCTATATGGATTATCTAATTTTTTATGCATTTTGATGACATCTTAAGCGGTATGGGCCTCTATGTGTCATCTTAAAATAAAAGATAAACACATTCAAAACAACAATAGTTTACTATTATAGTCATAGTCCTATTTTTGCATATTAATTAACTAAAACCTTTTGTATTTTAAATTGAAAATCATTCTAGATCTGATATCAGTATAATTTCATTTTTATTACAGAAGTCTCACTTGAAGATTTTGAAGCTGTACGTGTTGGACTGGAAGGATACTAAGGCAACATAAGGAAAACAAAAATAGCATCCAGCACAAGGAATTTTTTCATAAGTTACACTTTTCATAGTCATGTTGTTGGATAAAGGACATTATAACAATGGTGTGAATTATTTTGAGTCTTTTTTGACCCTCGCTGGTCCCACCCTCTTCTGTTTTAAAACCAAAAAAAAAATGATACCAAGTTTAAGAAATGAAGAGTAATTGTGTTACACAATCCCAGATAGCAAAGAGTGGTCGCGCCAACGTCGGCCCGACGACTTTGCCTCCGTCGGGCCAACGTTGGCAGACGACGTCGGTTCGAAGTCGTCGTGTCCGGCGGCCCGCCGTCGGCCCACCGGTGGTCTGCCACCCTTTTGCCAACGTCGCACCGACGCTGGGCCGACGTCATTATGGATAAACGGCGGTCAGCCGCTGTCATGCCGACAATTTGCCAACTTCGCGCCAACGTCGGGCCAATGTCGTTATGAGCTATTACTATCGGCGGTTAGCCGCTGTTATGCCGACCTTTTGCCGACGTCGCACCAACGTCGGGCCAACGTTATTATCGATAACCGGCGGTCAGCCACTATAATGCCGACCTTTTGCCGACGTCGCGCCAACGTTGGGCCAATGTCGTTATGAGCTATTACTATCGG